AATAATAATAATTAATTTAAAACAATAATATTTCAATATAAAAACAGTACGGTGCAATTTAATTATCGACAGTTCCACATCAGCGATGTGAATGGATGGGTCATAGGAGTGAGCGGCAGGTTCTCAGCCTGTCATAGTTGAACACTCTTCCCAATCATGGTGGACATTTCTACAAATTTTATTTATTTATTTACAAGTCTTTTTTAAAAAAATATTTAAAAAATTACCCACCAAATCCACCAAATTATTAAGCAATAGCAGCCTCTTTCTCACCAGCTCCCCCCAGTCTCTTCATCCCTTGCCTGCCTATATATAAACCTTCCCATTCTCTTGAATGACCATAATTCCACTTAGCCCTCCTCAAAATCCCTCTCTCTCTTCCTAATAAAAAGAGAGAAAGCAACCTTTTAACCTTTTTAGAAAACCTTGGGGGACATTCAAAAGTGAGAAACTAACACAGAATTCTTGGATTCTTGTTCCCACTATTCTGTGCTTGACTGTAAGTGTTCATTTTCTTGGAAGTCTTTTTTCTACGTGCCTTGTTTGGTTGTTGAGAAAATGAAGGAAAAGTAAACCCAACAAATTCCCATTTCTTCATTCTTGTGTTTTCTCTTGTTCCTTGTTAAAGGTTCTGATGTTGTTATAACAATTAAGGCACTGAAAACGTTTATTACTAACATTTTAATTTCTCGTTTTCAAGTTCCACCTTCAATTTTGACCACTGGGTGTGTTTCATTTTCCTCAAATTCATTCAGATATTGAGAAGAACCATATCATGGAGGGATACGGAACAGAGAGAGCTCGGGCTTCCGGCAGGCGGACCAGCCGGAACATGAGCAGGAGCCAGAGCAGGAGCAGTTGGAGTATGGAAGACGTCTTTTCCGGGGGCAGAAGCTCCCGGAGGAGCAGCCGACGGGCGGAAGAAGATGAGGAGGCTCTGAAATGGGCCGCCATAGAGAAGCTACCGACCTATGACCGATTGAGAACGAGTATCATGCAGTCTTTTGTGGAGCATGAGGTCCATGGAAACACGGTTGTGCACAAAGAAGTGGACGTGACCAAACTTGGCATGAACGATAGACAAAAGTTCATCGATCAGCTTTTTAAGGTCGCAGAGGAAGATAATGAAAAGTTTTTGCAGAAATCCAAGAACAGACTTGATAAGTAAGTGTCACTTTTTCTAAAAAGGACAGAATTGGGTGTGAATAGTATATAATTATGTCACGATAGACTGAAGTCGTCGAAAACCCCGGAAAATGAAAAGTGGAAAGATTTAAATTGACTTCTCCTAATGGATTTCGGGTTTCATCTCAATTTACGGGGAAAAAGCGGTTAAATGGAGAATTGGCATTAAATTCCTAATGATAACTTTATGTTAATTAATTGATTTCATTATGTTGAAATTGCAGAGTCGGAATTCAACTTCCCACAGTAGAGGTCAGGTTCGAACATTTAAACATAGAAGCTGATTGCCACATCGGCACAAGGGCTCTTCCAACTCTTCCAAATGTTGCCAGAAACATTGCTGAGTCGATTATTGGTATGCTGGGAATTAGATTGGCAAAGAGAACAAAGCTTACCATCCTCAAAGATGCTTCAGGAATTATTAAACCATCTAGGTACTAAATTTAGTAAAGAAAGACTCAAAAACTTAGTTAATTCTCTATATATATATTTGTTTATTACAACTTTAATTTGTTTCCATATTACAGGATGACACTTTTGTTAGGTCCGCCATCTTCTGGAAAAACAACCCTTTTGTTGGCATTGGCTGGCAAATTGGATCCAAGCTTGAAGGTTATAATTGATTATATATTATGCTTAATATTTAATTAATTCAACTTGAAAACCAAAAAACCATAATTTTTGTTGTTGTTGTTGTTGAACTAAACAGGTTACAGGAGAAGTAACTTACAATGGGTATAGACTTAAAGAATTTGTGCCCAGAAAGACTTCTGCTTACATTAGCCAAAATGACGTTCATGTTGGAGAAATGACTGTCAAAGAAACTCTTGATTTCTCAGCGAGATGCCAAGGAGTCGGGACTCGTTATGGTATTCATAAACATCTATAATTTTTATTAAGTGCAGCAAATATATTGACATCAATATTTCTAAACATGTATTTTGAGCCTTTTCTGTTCTCTAATGAATTCAACTATAATTTGAGCCAAACAATTTTCTTGATATAGATCTCCTGAGTGAGCTTGCAAGAAGGGAAAAAGATGCTGGAATTTTCCCAGAAGCAGAGGTGGACCTTTTCATGAAGGTAATTAATTAAAAATTTCCCACCAACCAGTTTTTTATTGTTATTGAAACATGCCATTTGCATTGTAACTGATTATAATAATTTCCCACCATCCATTTTTTTATTGTTATTGAACCATGCCATTTGCATTGTAACTGATTATAATAATTTCTATGAAATTCAGGCAACTGCAATGAAAGGAGTTGAAAGCAGCCTAATTACTGACTACACTCTCAAAGTAAGTTTCCCTTCTTTCTTCTTTGAACTTTCTGTCACTTTAATTTCCCTAAAAAAAATCAAATCAAATCCTTAGAAAAGAATCCGATTAGTTAATTTACTACAATCTCCTTTACGACTTTCTTGGCTAATATGGTTCTAAAGTATATTAGAATGCATGTCGGTTAACATTCCTTAAAAATTTTTCTGTCAAAATTTTCTGCTCACCTAACTCTCTGTTGACTGTTGCACAACCAAGCCGGTGCTTAAATGGGCCCCAACCTTTTCTTCACTTGGATTATTTTCGATTTTGACCCTTAACAAAACCAAACTTGCAGAACAACCTTCCATGTAATGCAAAATTCGCAGTATATTATACATGAAAATGACTTTCTCCTAACCCGTTAACATTTCATAACTCTTTTTTTTTTTTTCTGTCTGAATGGGACAGATTCTGGGGCTTGATATCTGTAAGGATACAATTGTTGGAGATGAAATGCAACGTGGAATTTCTGGTGGACAGAAAAAAAGAGTAACAACAGGTCAATTTTACTGAACTAAACAAGCCTCTTCTACCATTTTGATCATATGAATTCAATGTAATGTTTGAATCTTTCTGATCTTGATTAAAACTTAGTTGATATACGTGGTAAGTACTTCTGGTTTCATAAAAATTGAAGATTGAAAACGAAGCAAAAAGCTAAAAATGCATGTATTTAACCAAATCAACCCCAAAATTGATCTCCTAACAACCCACTGTTTGTCTTTTCACATTCCTAAACTGCAAATGATCTACACTGAACATGCAATATGATTTGAATATTAATACAGGAGAGATGATTGTTGGTCCCACCAAGACATTGTTTATGGATGAGATATCAACAGGTCTTGATAGCTCCACAACATACCAAATAGTTAAGTGCTTGCAGCAGATTGTGCACCTCACTGAGGCTACAATCTTGATGTCCCTACTCCAGCCTGCTCCTGAGACGTTTGATCTCTTCGATGATATCATTCTTTTATCAGAGGGTCAGATCGTCTATCAGGGGCCACGAGTGCACATCCTTGAATTCTTTGAACGTTGTGGATTCAAGTGTCCTGAGAGAAAAGGAACTGCTGATTTCTTACAAGAGGTAAACATGTCAATGTACCTTACAAATTCTCAAAATAAGGCTTGAGTCTTGGAGCTTTTTTTGAAGCCCAGGTTAACTTGGGCTCATTTCTTGTTTGTTGGGCCTTGAGGCCATAAATAAAAATAGAACAATTTTTGACCATGAGAGGATTGTTGCAGGTTACCTCAAGGAAAGATCAAGAACAATACTGGGCAGACAGAAGCAAACCATACAGGTACATTACAGTGACTGAATTTGCAAACAAGTTCAAGCGCTTTCATGTCGGAATGCAGCTAGACAATGAGCTCTCGGTGCCATTCAACAAGTCAAAGGGTCACAGAGCAGCCCTGGCATTCAAGAATTATTCAGTCCCCAAAATGGAACTCCTCAGGGCTTGTTGGGACAAAGAATGGTTACTGATCAAGAGAAATTCTTTCGTTTACATATTCAAGACAGTACAGATCATAATTGTGGCAATCATAGCGTCCACAGTGTTCATAAGGACTAAAATGCACACCAGGAATGAGGGTGATGGGGCACTATATATTGGAGCACTTTTATTCTCTCTGGTCATCAACATGTTCAATGGTTTCTCCGAGCTCTCCATCATGATAAGTAGGCTTCCAGTATTTTACAAGCAGAGAGAGCTTCTTTTCCACCCAGTGTGGACATTCACTTTGCCAACATTCCTGCTCAGGGTCCCTATATCTATTCTAGAGTCTATTGTTTGGATGGTCATTACATATTACTCTATTGGATTTGCACCTGAACCTGACAGGTAAATTAAATTTTAAGTCCCCGATTTCCTTACTTGGAGAGGAATTTAGTATTAACACTACCTTGTGAACCCATTTGCAGGTTTTTCAAGCAATTTCTGTTGGTATTCTTGATCCAACAAATGGCAGCTGGGATTTTCAGGCTCATTGCTGGTGTATGTAGAACAATGATTATTGCAAATACCGGTGGTGCTCTCACTCTTCTGCTTATCTTCTTGGTGGGAGGTTTCATCATTCCTAAAAGTGAGCTTCAAAACCATACATTACATTTTTTTTTTCTTTTTTTCTTTTTTCTTTTTTCTTTTTTCTTTTTGGAAATCAATGTTTCTTTCGTTTATTAGTCCATTTATTAACAAAGGGTTGCTAAATTTGTGACAGATCAAATTCCAAAGTGGTGGGAGTGGGGTTATTGGGTTTCACCTTTGACTTATGGATACAATGCCATGGCTGTAAATGAAATGTATGCTCCAAGGTGGATGAACAATCGGGTATGTTAAAATTCATATATTTAATACATTATACCAATTTTTTGTGAATAAAAGGATGCATACTCTTGCTAATACAAGAAGCTAGTTCTTAAAAGAAATTTTAATTATGATGCAGGCTTCAGATAATATAACTAAATTGGGGGAGGCAGTGCTCAACAACTTTGATATCTACACGAATGAGAACTGGTATTGGATTGGTGTAGCAGCTCTGTTCGGCTTCACAGTGCTCTTCAATGTCCTCTTTACCTTTGCTCTCATGTATCTTAGCCGTAAGTTCTGCACTCTGTTCAAAGTTTAACGTATTTTCTCTCTTGTTTCATGGCTTTTAATTTTCTTTATTTAGGCAGCTAATCTTTTAAAATTTTCTTGATTGATGCAATAGCTCCTGGAAAGCCACAGGCAATAATTTCTGAAGAGACAGCAGATGATATGGAGGCAGGGCAGGATGAACCTGAGGAACAACCAAGATTACGAAGACCAAAATCAAAGAAAGATTCGTTTCCTCGATCACTACCTGCATCAGATGGAAACAATTCAAGTAAGAAATCTTATATTCTACCATTAATGAACTGTCAATGCATAAGTTATTTGCTGCTTACATGAAACTGAAAACTTTTAGGAGAAATGGCAATGCGGACAATGAGCAGGACTAATCCCAATGAAATCAATAGAAATGCTGATTCTGCACTAGAGGCAGCCAATGATGTTGCCCCCAGAAGAGGAATGGTTCTTCCTTTCACACCTCTAGCCATGTCATTTGACAGTGTCAAGTATTATGTTGACATGCCACCTGTAAGTTCCTTTAAATTTTGTGAGTATTAGCTTAGAACATTGTTTATGAATCAAGATTTGACTAACTTGTTCAAAAATTTGTAACAGGAAATGAAGGAACAAGGAGTTACAGAGGACAGGCTACAGCTTTTGAGGGGAGTAACAGGTGCATTTAGGCCAGGAGTCTTGACTGCACTAATGGGAGTTAGTGGAGCTGGAAAGACAACTTTGATGGATGTTTTAGCTGGAAGAAAAACAGGTGGATACATTGAGGGTGATATCAGAATATCTGGATTCCCTAAGAAACAAGAAACTTTTGCAAGAATTTCTGGATATTGTGAACAAAATGACATACACTCACCCCAAGTTACTGTAAGAGAATCCTTGATTTACTCAGCTTTCCTTCGGCTCCCTAAAGAAGTCAGCAAAGAGGAGAAAATGGTAAGAAATGAGAACAACGTTTTTTGTAATTACTGCTAAATAAAGCATGATATTGTTTTAGGCCTTAAAATTCATTTTTTCTTTCTGTTTAGATTTTTGTGGACGAAGTGATGGAACTGGTAGAGTTAGACAACCTCAAGGATGCTATAGTGGGGTTACCGGGAATTACAGGGTTGTCAACAGAACAAAGAAAGAGATTGACAATTGCAGTAGAGCTTGTGGCTAATCCATCAATTATTTTCATGGATGAACCAACATCTGGTCTTGATGCAAGGGCAGCTGCAATTGTCATGAGGACTGTCAGAAACACAGTGGACACTGGAAGAACAGTTGTCTGCACAATTCATCAGCCTAGCATTGATATTTTTGAAGCCTTTGATGAGTTGCTGCTAATGAAGAGAGGGGGGCAGGTGATCTACTCAGGGCCACTGGGAAGGAATTCTCACAAGATAATTGAATATTTTGAGGTATTTGACATTGTCCAGGATTTTCTTCATCTCATAACTGGGAAAGAAGAAATTACTTACTAAATCTCTTCTTATTCACCATTTACAGGCGATTCCTGGAGTTCCCAAGATTCAGGATAAGTACAATCCTGCAACATGGATGCTAGAAGTGAGCTCTGTTGCAGCTGAAGTTAGACTTGGAATGGACTTTGCTGAATACTATAAATCATCTGCTTTGCATCAGTAAGTAACAACTTCAAAAGCCAAATGTCAATGTTAAATTAAAATTTCCTTTGACATTTTTAGGCTAATACATGTTCCTATGATTAGGCGAAACAAGGCACTAGTACAGGAGTTAAGCACACCGCCCCCAGGAGCTAAAGACCTCTATTTCTCCTCTCAGTATTCACAACCCTCATGGGGACAATTCAAGTCTTGCCTTTGGAAGCAATGGTGGACTTACTGGAGAAGTCCAGATTATAACCTTGTTAGATACTTCTTCACCTTGGCCTCTGCCCTTTTGGTTGGTACAATTTTCTGGCAGGTCGGCACAAAAAGGTTTGAACCAATCTCCTACTTGGTGCTGATCATCAAAAAAAAAAAAAAAAACCTCCTACTTAGTGAATTCACTCATATTTTTCCAAGTCTGCTATAACATAATTAACATCTCTTTTTTCCCATGGTTCAGGGAAACCTCTACTGATCTTACCATGATAATTGGTGCCATGTATGCTGCTGTCTTGTTTGTTGGAATTAATAACTGTGGAACTGTCCAACCAATAGTATCCATAGAAAGAACAGTGTTTTATCGCGAAAGGGCAGCTGGGATGTACTCTGCACTACCTTATGCCCTGGCACAGGTAAGAATGCTTTTGTCGCATATACTTCTTCAGTTTCTTCAAAATCAGTATCGATCCCATTTTCATTATATTGGCATTTATGCAGGTGATTGCTGAGATACCTTATGTGTTAGTCCAAACTACATACTACACCCTCATTGTTTATGCAATGGTGGGATTTCAATGGACTGCAGCCAAGTTCTTCTGGTTCTTCTTCATCAGCTTTTTCTCCTTCCTTTACTTCACATACTACGGAATGATGACTGTTTCCATCACACCAAATCACCAAGTAGCATCCATATTTGCAGCAGCTTTCTATGCTCTCTTCAACCTTTTTTCTGGCTTCTTCATCCCAAAATCGGTGAGTCAACTTGTTTCACGAGTAAATTCTGTTATTAACAAATTTAATCAAGCAAGCCTATTGACTCAAATTCATTCCATGTTGATGAAACTACGTACAGAGAATTCCCAAGTGGTGGATTTGGTACTACTGGATCTGTCCCGTGGCATGGACAGTCTACGGCTTGATTGTGTCACAGTACGGTGATGTTGAAAAAACTATCCGAGCACCAGGCATCACACCAGACCCGAGTATCAAATCGTATATTGAAAGTCAATTCGGGTATGATCCAAATTTCATGGGACCAATTGCTGCTGTTCTGGTTGGTTTCACAGTGTTCTTTGCCTTCATGTATGCCTATTGCATAAAGACACTAAACTTCCAAATGAGGTAAAGGCAGTCCATGCTGCAAGTTCTTCAACCATGTCGAACAAAGGAAAAATGACCTTGTAAATGCCAAAACACAGTGAAAATAATCATATTAGGCCTCTGTGTTGATATTATGACGACGAAAGTATTAGTTTGCAAGTTTTTGAATGTTGTACCTGCTATATTATGAAATGTAAAGAGTCAAAGAATTTTGAAGGAAATATGTTAGAGAGACAAAGTTTTAGTTCTTTTGCTTAATGAAGTTGAAATAAATCTACAAATACAACAGAATGTTCTTGACTTCGTTTTTCTCAACCTTTTATTACTCAACATTTGCTCTTTTTCTTGGATAAATTATGGGTTAATCTAAATTAACAATACAATAAATATAGTATTTAGATCAACTATTATTTTTATTTTAAAATAATAATTATTTTTTAAAATTTTCCTTAAAATAAAGATTTAGAAACAATTGATGTATTTATTGATATTAACCATGAAAAAATAAATTTTTTTTATAAGATAAATAATTAAAGTAAACATATAATAATATGATTAAAATAAAAAAAATATTTATTTATTTTAAAAAATAAAAAATAACAATTAATTTGTAATAAATTTCAATTAAAAAACAACAATTATTTTAAAAAAGGAGAGAGTACAATGCTAGATAGTCCATTTATAAAACCTAATTAATCTTGGACAACAAGTTTCCAAGATTTTGCAACAATGTCCCATGACCTGGATACTTGGCAGCGGTAAGCTGGGATTTCTTTTCCGTAAGGGAGTTGAGGTGAACAATGATTCATGACTTGGATACGTGGCAGTGGTATACTGGGATTTCTTTTCTGTAAGGGAGTTGATGAGGTGGTCATTTAAACAACTCAAATCCCAAATCTTCGAGGGGGATGGAGAGGGCGGTTATAGAGAAAGAAGAACCAAGAGAGGAGACAAAAGATGAGGGCGAAAAAGGGGGAGAGGGAGAGTAGGCGGCTAAGGTTTGACTATATGATTTTTTTAGAGATTCACATGATTGCATTGACTATTCTTTATGAAACTGACACTTAAGATTGAGGTGGTAAATTTGAGTTAAAATTTTAAGATAAAGGGTAACAAAAGATGAGGGCGAAAGAGAGTGAAAGTGAGAGGAAGGCAGCTAAGGTTTGACTATATGATCTTTTTAGAGATACACGTGATTGTATTGGCTATTCTTTATGAAACTGACATTTACGATTAAAAGATGGTAGTTTTGGGTTAAAAATTTTAGCATAAAGGGTGAGCCATAGGGTTTAGCCGCTTAGGGATAGGGAAGGTAGTGGTTTAATGATAGTAGTATTCCAGCGCCTGTATTTTGGCTAATGCACAGAATAGTGCTAGCTACTTGCTGCAATAAAAAAATTGACACCCAACCAATTATCTAGGTGCCAAGTGCAGCTAGTATAGCCCATAGAAAGTTATCTTTTAGATTTTATTAATGATGTGCCTAAACTTGAATGTGGGATAATGAATGAAATTCCATTTTTGTATGAGAAAAGATTAGATTACCCTCGTCTCCACTTATTTGTTAGGAACACATTTTTGTGTGTTACACTAAAACGAAATATTTAATATAAAAAATTTAAAAACACAATTATTAACTTTTAAACTTTTATTTCCACTCTTTTTTAATAAAAAAATTCATTGAAGACTTATTTTTTTGAACAATTTAATATA